GAAAATCCTTTTCAACTCATTTGAGATTTGGGGCTGTAGTTGAGATATTATTTGAGCTTTTGAGATCTTAATCAGCTGCTGTTGGTTGTAGAAAACTGCCTTGTTGCCATGGTTATGCACCATAACAAATGTCCAACACTAAAAAAGTTTCAGTAAAAATCCTTCCAGCTGTACAGCATCAGATACCAGAGGAAACCATCATCCAAAAAATGTGCGTTACATCCAGAAAAAGAGGAATTCATGTTTCCAAAAGCATAATCTCAGAATTAAAGTAACAAAGCAGCTCCAACATGCAGCCACCTTGAGCGGCGCAATTCTACAACACAATTACGCGGAGATTGCCTTAAATTGCCTTATACACGGAGGGTTGAGACTTCATACTCGAGCGTACACCCTGAGCTGAAGTTGACGGAAACTTGATAACTTGACGGAAGCGGAGGCAGAACAACTCAGAATGAAAATATCATCAACCCTCTCCAGTGCCAAACCGCCTCCTTCAAATCTCACACCACAGGAAAGGAAAGCTATAACATCACTCAGCCAGAACCAAAACATCACCATTTTACCAGTTGATAAAGGAAGATGCACAGTAGTCCTCAATACTTCTGATTACCAGGAAAAAATAATTACACTACTGAGCGACAGCGACACTTACGTGACCCTGAAGAGGGACTCAACTAGCACCTATAAAAAGAAAGTCACAGATTACCTGCAAAAACTGGAAAAGGAGAAAACAATTGATCGTTGTATTATAGATTGTACCCAGAAGAAGCCACTCCCTGTCTTTATGGACTTCCTAAAATACACAAAGAAGGAACACCACTCAGACGCATCATCATCAGCATTAACTCAGTGACATACAATATTGCTAAACATCTGGCTGGTATTTTAGCTCCTCTTGTTGGAAACACACCTCATCACATAAAGAACTCAATTGATTTTGTTAACAAAGTTCAACATTTGAAACTAACCCCAGGAGAAACCCTTGTATTGTATGATGTGACTTCTCTTTTCACTTGCATACCCATTTCTGAAGCAGTAGAAAACATCAGAAAACAACTTCTACAAGACAAGGACTTAATCAACAGGACCAACTTCACCCCAGACCAGATCTGTACCCTGTTGGATCTCTGCCTCTCCACCACTTATTGCAAGTTCAATGGCAGTTTTTACAGACAGAAGCACGGCTGTGCCATGGGATCTCCAGTGTCACCCATTGTTGCCAATCTCTACATGGAGGAAGTGGAATAAAGAGCCCTAAACTCCAATGAGGGAACAACGCCAAGCCATTGGTTCCGATATGTAGCTGATACTTGGGTCAAAATCCAAGCCAAGGAAATAGAAGTGTTCACCAGACACATTAACTCGGTCGATAACAACATCAAATTCACCAGAAAGGATGCAAACGACAACAAGCTGCCTTTTTTGGACTGTTTGGTTCAGATGGAAAGAGAGGACAGCCTCAACATTGAAGTTTACAGAAAACCAACCCACACAGACCAGTATCTTCTGTTTGACTCTCACCATCCATTGGAACACAAACTCTCTGTCATCAGAACTTTACAGCATCGGGCCGAACGCATCCCCACGAAGACAGAATGGAAGGAAAAGGAACAGAAACACATTCAAGAAGCTCTCCAAGCATGTGGATATCCTAAATGGACTTTTGTCAAGTCAGCGAGGAAATCTACAAAACACACTAATAAACAGAACAAGGAGAACAACAGACGGAAAAACATTGTCATTCTTTCCAACAATTTTCAGTCAGGTCATCTGGACATCCTGATGCATGCTCATCTGGACAGTTTCTTTTTTTTTCTGAAACGTTTCGCCTTCCATCTGGAAGACTTCATCAATCAAGGAAACACACAACACAAAACTGATGCTTCCCCCATAGAGCTTACTCCAAAGTGGAACAAACCAGTTATGTTGGTGCTAAGATGGTGTCTTTGGCATGCCCCCTCCTCTGTGGCTGGCCCTCTTCCTCGTCGACAGCCATATCAAACTTGTCATCCCTTATGTTGCTGGAGTATCAGAGAAATTCAGAAGGATTTTCAACAAACACAACATCCCAGTACATTTCAAACCCAGCTGGACTCTCAGACAGAGGCTGGTCCACCCTAAGGACAAAACACCCATACACAAACAGAGTGGTGTAGTGTATGTGGTCCAGTGCAGCGAGGACTGTCCAGACCTCTACATTGGGGAAACTACACAGCCTCTTCACAGACGCATGGCTCAACACAGGAGAGCCACCTCCTCTGGACAAGACTCAGCTGTTCACCTCCACCTCACAGATAAGGGACATTCTTTTGAGGACCAAAATGTGCACATTTTGGACCGAGAACACAGATGGTTTGAGAGGGGGGTGAAGGAAGCAATTTATGTTAAAGAGAAAAAACATCTCTTAACATCAGATTTTAACTTTCAAAAACATATAATGCAACTTTAAGACTGATTCCCAGCCAGTTTTCACACCTAATGGGAACAAAGGGGCCTCAACTGTGAATTAGAGTAACAAAGACCTTAAGAAACCCCTACTGTTAAGGTGTGATTTGTCAATCTACATATGTATGTGTATCTTATCTCAGCTTTATAACCTGAACCCAACACTCACTGCTCTTTGAATTGAGAAAGCTCCTCGGATGAGGAGCGAAATGTTTTCTGTTACAAATAAAATCCAGTTTTTTTTGTATTGAACGTTTTTGAGTGGCTACTTTAGGGAATTTAAACTATGGAAGCTGTTTTAGATTGTTTTAACTTTCTTCTATATATGATTTCCACATTTTTCTACTTCTGCAGTCTTCACTACTAAAACTATTTTCTGGTATTGATTTCTAAATACCTAATGGTGGATGTTTGTTTAATGCAGAACTATATACGTATATCAAGGTGAGAAAACACAAAACTGAAAAACTTTAATTCACAAAACTTTTGCATTTTCTCTCCACCTTAACATCTCAGGAACATCTGGTCCACAGACATCAATCATTGTGCCTGCATGCACTTGTACACAGCATGATGAAAATATACAGTATGTCTTAGGGTTAGAGTGGGTGTGGGCCAGCAGGTTATTGTATAATCTCATTTTATTCAGCTCTCCTGATTACACACTGAAGGCTTTGATCATTGACAAGCCTCTCATTTCCACTGGCCTAAATTTGAAAGCCTTTAATTCAGACAAACCCACATTATGGAGACTGCTGCTCACCTTTGTTTTTCCTTCTTTACACTCCTCTGAACCAGTGAAAACACATTAATCTACTTTTTTTTCTGTCAGTGTGGACTGCACCAGTAATAAGAGCTTAGACCTCCTAATCAAAGAGGCAGGCACATAATCCTGTGTATGTGATTACGACATCAATACGTGTGAAGATTAGATGATGCTCTCACATTTATACGATCTCAGCCACCTGTGTAAGTGGGTCAGTACTTATGGGAGATCATGCAGTCATATTTGTCATGGCTAAAGAGGTGACTCACTTTACCTAAATGTCAAACTTTGTTCTTCACTGAATATGATTATTAATGAATGCTATTTTAACATTTCATTGCAGTCAGAAGTTTACATACACTCATCATAGGCACGTTGTATTAATTTAAGTGGTAAATGACTGATTTGATTTATCCAGGGTAGGATGACTAAACTACAAAAACCTTTAATATTTTTTTTAAAAACACTAATATTTGGTTGACTTGGTAAGTTGCAGTTCAACTACACTCTTATGGTATCCACCAAAAAGCTTCTGTCATAGCTCTGGATGAAGTTTTGACCACTCTTTTTGGCAGAACTTGCAATGTTAAATTAATCTGGTTGATTTTCTGGCACAGATGTAGCCTTTAAACAACATTTACACATTTTTAAAAGGGATGGGTTTATGGCTTTGGAAAGGTCATTTAAGAAGACTAATGTTAGCCTGATTTATCCAAACAGAAACCAGTTCTGACGTCTGACTGGAGTTATATTGTCTTGTTGGAGTACCCAACTGTGTCCAGGTTAGCTGTTGATTAGAAGTGAAGTGGAAGAATTTCAAGACTGTCTTTCTTCATTATTGTTCTACCCACTTTGTGCAATCCAACAGTACCACAGCATGATGCTACCACCATCATGCTCAACTCCTATATACTTCTTGTCCATGTGGACCTACAAGTTCAATCGTTGTCTACTTGGCTAGTACATGTAGAGAGCTGCAAATTTCACTCAATTGTAAAGGTTTTATTTTTGTGGGGATGCAAAACTGGATTGACTGTAGATGGAGACACTGATCTTCCAGCAGTTTCTTCCAGTTGGCTTGAGTCTTGCTGGTTCCTGTGCTGTTCCTGAACATCCAAACCAATTTTTTTATGTATACTGTGTATCAGAAGAACAGATGAGTAGTGGTTCATCCAATGAGTGCTGCCTAATAAATAATTTTTATGCTGGCAAAATGAAACTACCAGCTGCAGTCAATCATGATCATCAATAAGAAGTTAACAGGCCTATTTCTTGTCAAATTAAAAAACATCCGGGACCCTTCAGCACTACTTATGAAATGATTTAGGTGAATGTATGTAAATATTTGAGCCTGTATATCTGGTGCTTTGTACACCATATTCTTGTTTTTAAAAATCACTGAAGTTGTATGTTATATCATCATTCTTCAATCATCCTTTCCACCTGGAAAAAGGAACACCTGAAGCAAGTGATTAACTGTCCCATTTTAATACGGCATTATAATGAAAGCATGTAAACATCTGATCACAGCTGTTCCACAACGCGCTGCTTGGATGAAATGAAATATGGACAGATGAAATTGATATTACATGATCTATGCAACCCACAATATAATATGAGCACTCTTGTTAAATAAAGTTATTTTAAGGGCATAGTTTATGCATTAAAGCAAAGACCAAAGCTTAAGCCTCTTTCTGTACAGATTTTCTAAGCAGCCTATTGCAGTGTTAATGTTATCATTAGGTTAGCTTTGGTTCAGGTTATTAGATAGTAAAGGACAACTTACTTGGGTACCAGGTTTGTAGGTGGCAACTGTGTCTTTGATGAGACGAATTTCTGAAGGTGTGACTCCACCAACTAGAAAGAGAAAGACCAGTGGGTTGTTGCCAGGATGTGGACGGCTCACCTGGAAATAAGACAACACACCATACCTGGTCATTTTACTTTTAGACCATCGACGTTTTTGACTTTGACTCTTATTTTTGATTACAGGTACTCTAGTTAAGGAACAATTCACAGCATTTTCTCTCCATCTAATCATGAGAGACTATGCTATGTGTATATTTTTGCTGAGTCACTGTTCAGCTGGACACCTGTATTTACTGATAACGATGACCCTTAAACTCAGAGAATGGAGAATCCTCACAGATGGCTGACATGTGTGGACGCCTCTACATAACAAACACAGACTCAGAAGTGTCCACACCTCATGAGTGAGGAAACTCCCACACACAAAGACATTTGGTAAAGTGTCATTTAAACATGTCCTTTAACAGCAAAGTCTGGTGTTTCTGCAGAGCCTCATTGGGACACAGCAGTGTTGTGCTATTGGTTGGCGGGTCGCAAGCAAGAACAGCTTGTGAATACTAAACAGACAATGAGACCTGCAGGAGGTGGACCACCACAGGTCCACCTCCTGCAGGTCTCATTGTCTGTTTAGTGGCTGTACACGTGAAGTGGCAGCATGCTGAGGTGAGGCATGTCAGGCATGGTTGGACATGTGTTTCTCCAAAAAGGTGCAAACTAATGTTATCTTGGCTATTCTGCTCATGCTATGTTGGATTGGCATGAAAAGACACAACTCCATGTGAGAGCACATCACCACCTGTGTGGATGCATAGACACCACACGCGCATTGACATGAGGAAGATGAGGACGGTGAAAATGTGAGCTGAAACGTGACAAGCGTTTTGAAAGAGGAAACAAAGAGATTGTCATTCAAAGCTCTCACAGTGAATTACTTCAAAAATACCACACTGATGGACACGAACTGCTCTTTCAGTATTTTTGACACCAAAAATAACAGCAATTCCTGATAAGTCAATTTTTTTATTTACAAAAGTTGACAGTAAATTTAAAAAGAACAATTATTAACCTTAATCAGAACAATTATTATTACCGGTAGGTTGCATTTATGATTCAATGCAATAAAACAAACAAATTTAAAAGGTATTTAAATTTTTAAAGGTAATAGATCACTCTAATACTTAGTTTATTTACATAATGACATTTTTTGTTTAAAACAGGTCTCTCTTGTAAATGAGTCCATGTGACTCAATGAGACTAGCCTGTAACTTACTAACTAATGCTTGTGACTAACCTGTTGGTTTAATGAAAAAAAAAAAAAAAAAATGCTGGATGTCCGGCCTCTGAGCTGCTGGCGTTCAAAAACTGTGGCTCTCCGCGCACTTTTGTTGAATAGCCCTGTTCTATTGTCTAGTGATAAATTTATGTAAAAGTTTGGAAACCTTTCACAACTGGTTCTCTTTCTGTAGAAATATCACCTAAATTTTTGTCTCATTTTTAAAGGTCTTCAAAAAAAAAAGAAGAATGCCATAAATTAAATGAGAGAAAACAGTTGTTATGTGCTGTATGTAGGGTGCATTAAGAATTTTTGTATGCTGTCGCAGAGCAAAAAGGGGAAATTGAAAATACCTTTATCTGTCCAAGCATGTTGTGAGAGCAATAACTTGAAAAATAAGTGAGGTACTGTTTTCCATTTGGGTATATGACTACAAAATGGATTCCAAAAAAGTTGGGACACTAAACAAATTGTGAATAAAAATTGAATGCAATGATGTGGAGATGGCAAATGTCAATATTTTATTTGTAATATAACATAGATGACAGATCAAAAGTTTAATCTGAGTAAATGTAACATTTTAAAGGAAAAATATGTTGATTCAAAATTTCACAGTGTCAACAAATCCCAAAAAAGTTGGGACAAGTAGCAATAAGTGGCTGGAAAAAGGAAATTGAGCATATAACGAACAGCTGGAAGACCAGTTAACACTAATTAGCTCAATTGACAACATGATTGGGTATAAAAAGAGCTTCTCAGAGTGTCGTGTCTCTCAGAAGCCAAGATGGTAAGAGGATCACCAATTCCACCATTGTTGTGCAGAAAGATAGTGCAGCAATACCAGAATGGTGTTACCCAGCGTAAAATAGCAAAGACTTTTAAGTTATCATCATCAAACTTGCATAACATCATCAAAAGATTCAGAGAATCTGGAACAATCGCTGTGCGTAAGGGTCAAGGCCGTAAAACTACTGGATGCTCGTGATCTCCGGGCCCTTAAACGTTACTGCACCTCAAACAGGAATGCCACTGTCAAGGAAATAACAGAATGGGCTCAGGAATACTTCCAGAAAGCATTGTCAGTGAACACAATCCACCGTGCCATCCGCCGTTGCCAGCTGAAACTCTACAGTGAAAAGAGGAAGCCATTTCTAAGCAAGCTCCACAAGCTCAGACGTTTGCACTGGGCCTGGGGTCATTTAAAATGGAGTGTGGCAAAATGGAAGACTGTTCTGTGGTCAGATGAGTCACGATTTGAAGTTCTTTATGGAACACTGGGACGCCATGTCACCCGGACCAGAGAGGACAAGGATAGCCCAAGTTGTTATCAACGCTCCGTTCAGAAGCCTGCATCACTGATGGTATGGGGTTTCATGAGCGCTTGTGGCATGGGCAGCTTGCATGTCTGGAAAGGCACCATTAATGCAGAGAACTATGTTCAGGTTCTAGAACAACATATGCTCCCATCTAGACGTCATCTCTTTCAGGGAAGACCCTGCATTTTTCAACACGATAATGCCAGACCACATTCTGCAGCAATCACAACATCATGGCTACGTAGGAGAAGGATCCGGGTACTGAAATGGCCAGCCTGCAGTCCAGATCTTTCACCTGTAGAGAACATTTGGCGCATCATAAAGAGGAAGGTGCGACAAAGAAGGCCCAAGAGGATTGAACAGTTAGAGGCCTGTATTAGACATGAATGGGAGAACATTCCTATTTCTAAACTTGAGAAACTGGTCTCCTCTGCCCCCAGACGTCTGTTGAGTGTTGTAAGAAGAAGGGGGGATGCCACACAGTGGTAAAAATGGACTTGTCCCAACTTTTTTGGGATTTGTTGATGCCATGAAATTTGGAAACAACAGATTTTTCCCTTAAAATTATACATTCTTTCAATTTAAACTTTTGATCTGTGATTTGAGTTCTATTCTGAATAAAATATTAGATGTTGGCACCTCCACAGCATTGCATTCAGTTTTTATTCACAATTTGTTTAGTGTCCCAACATTTTTGGAATCCGGTTTGTACATTTATGTGGTGGTGGGCACAGTTCTGCTAATCTGCAAACAGCTAATAGCAGAAGTAGATCTTTGTTTAGCGGATTAAAGTTTTTGCTAACTTTGGAAACTGTTAGTTGAATTAGCTTCCACTAAATTAGGTTTTGCCAAATTTTAGTCCACTAACAAAATCCACAAGGTTGTTCCTGTCTGTTTCCGGCATGTCTTGAAGACTCTGTTACGCACTCTGTTGTCTTACTACGTGTTCACATGACAAAACGTGATTGGTCAACACAGCTTCAACTGGAAGGAGACAAAGATGTGTGACGTAGACTGAATTACAGTTGTCTTAGTGGATTAGCATTAGCTTCCACTAATTATTATTTATTTTAACAAGTTTAGCAGTTTAGTGTTAGCAAAGCAAATTTTTAAAGTTAGTGGAGTATGGGTTAGTGAAGCTAACTTTTTGCTTAGCTGTGCCCACCACTGTCTAGGTGTAAGAAAGTTTCCTTCCCAAAATTGGATTTCCATGTCAAAATCACAGATGGCTCCACCATATGTCTGTTTGTGTTGTGAGCATGATAATTGAAAAATAGGTGAGGTACCAACTTCCACTTTGATGTGTGACTACATCTAAGCATAAAAAAGGTCCCTATCAAAAATTGGGTTGTCATGTCCAAGTTCAAGATGGCCACCACCATATGTAAACGGGCCACCCCAATTATTTGAGGAAACTGTGCTTTCTAGTTTTTTTTTTTTTATTGCTTAAAAGTATAGGTTTATCAAATTTTTGGGTCAAAAATAAGCAATGTGTTGACTTCCATTTTTAGTGTATGACTGGATTTAGGCATAAAATGGTCACTGTCAAAAACTGGGTTGCCACAATGAAATCCAAGATGGGCAACATCGTAGAAATATGTAAACCAACCACCACAATCATTTTAGGAAACTATACTTTCTAGTTTTTATATAACTTAAAAGTAATATTTCCTCAAATGATTGGGGTGGCCAATGTGATGGCCAAAGGCTAATCATCAGTGGTGGCCTTGGCCACCACTAGCCACCCCGTTTCTGCCATTGCACCTGGCAGTGGATAAAATTGTTTTCTCCACTTACCAGGAACAAAGTCAATGTAATGGTAGCATTCATTTAGAAAATGCTTCTGTAATCAGATATTTTCTGTCATATTTACACAAACCACAAAATCTAAAGAAAAACATATTGTTGCATCCAAGAAGCATAACAAAGAAGATGTAAACTGCCACTAATATTAATAAAAGATTAAGTTGAACACTTAATAAATAATGGACTTGTTGACCTTCAAATGGTTCTGATGCTTCATTGTGTGAAGGAATCAGCAAGGACGTTTGGATATAGCTGTTTGTAGAAAGCTGTTTTCTATAGGATCACAGCTTCGGCTTCTTTCTCAGGCAGATTTTCAAGTCTGCCTGAAGATAGGTCCTACACAGTATGGTGGTCAGCAGGTCCTTATCTCAAACACTCAAACAGTTCATGGCATTTCCCAGGACACCATGTCCTGTAAGATGATAAAGTTTTATTGGCATAAGTGTGGCTGAATAGAACTGAAGGAGCAGGACTCAGCTTAAACTAAAACAGGCCACACCAGACATACACACACACACCAGGCACAGACAGTTTGAGACGACTGTACAAAAGTGATAGTGTAAAGACTCTCTGCAGGCTGTAAGTCAGACAGCCGAGTACAGAACGTTAAATAATCTAACTGTGGGTGCTGTGGTTAAAAATAGAGGTTTTATAGTGGTGTTTTATTGCATAAAGGGGGTGCACTTTGCCTCAAGTTCAGTTTATGGGCTTAGTGTGTCTGACTTTTTGATTTGAGGCCAGGTTTCCTAATTAGGGTGAAACCAATTTCTGCTTTCTGTCTATTTTACAGAAACATGTACTTTTTGACACTGTGAACTTGCGTAGGTTCTATTATCAACTAGACTGCTGTTCTTAGTGCCAATTTGACTCATCTCAGCCTGAAAATCAAACTGGTTTTCAGCTACTTAGCCATAGCTTTAATAAATGCTTTCATACACTTTTGTGTTTTGCAACTAGTTTGGTTCTTGACATGACTTATTCTGAAAGTTTGACTTGATTAAGTAAATCAATTTCTTCAAACAAGTCACCAATGTTTTGCATTGTTTTGTACTATAAGTGCTTAGTGTATTCTTAAGCCCACAGTATACTCCCGTGTACATCCGTTCGTGCGTACGTACGCGGGTTGAGTCTTCATACTCGAGCATCCACCCTGAGTGACTGCAGAGCAGCTTCGCAGACAAGGGGTGTTTACCTTCGGGACAAATTGAGGTTGCCAGTTGGTTATTTGCTGACATGCCTACTGGATTGATTGACAGGTTGGAAAAAAAAAAAAAAGAGCACTGGCAGCCTCAGCCGTGTTCTGTGTTTATATGTTTTTAATAAAAAGATCTAAAAAAAATTTAATAAACAGTGGTCCTGCAGCCCACACATCAGACCAGCCCACCAGGAAATCTCCATACCCTGCCGCAGCCACACTGGACCCGATTTTAATTCATTCGTGACAAATTCCTTCATTTCTCACCATTTCAGTCATGGCATCAACGGAGGAGGAAGAGATCACTTGCCTTCTGGCAAAAAACAAACTCTTAGTTTAACATATTTCTTAGTTCATGTCTTGGATCTTACTACTATTTTTCTTTACAATTTGTATTTTTATTGGATGTAAATGGGACCCTGTGTACATAGTTTTGTTCCACCTTATGTACTACATGTGATGTGAATGACAATAAAGTATCTTGAATCCTTGAATCCTTGAATCTTGGCACCACATGACCCATTGTAGTACAAAAAAATAATGGTCCACCAGTGACTGTTTTGACACCAGACAATCAAAGAAGGGTTTGATGGGCATGAAATGATCAGAAGATGTTTTAACCAACTGGTGAGCTGAATACCAGTGCATCATGGGAGTTAAATGTGATGATGATGTGCACTAATTGTCTAGCATTAGAAAAAAAACGATGTGGGACTTTTTCTTTGTGTTTGGGGAGGGGGCATCCTGTAAAGCAGTTTGAAAAGGAGCAGCTGGAGACTCCATGTTGTGACACATGGCTCTTTGTCCTAAAATCCTAAAAATGGGATTTTTAATCAAAATATTTTTGCTTTTCACAAATTCAGTTACTGTAGCACACAACAGGTTGTTTAGCAAAAAACTGTGCAATGCTGTATATTAAAGCATGGACTTGTTAAGTGTGCGCAAAGATGAAAAACAGGGAATCTTATCCTTTTTGTAAACTATATCTAACCTTCATGAACATGCTGAATCCAGTCTTCAGCAGGTTTGTGAGGCCTCCAGACATGTACTCAATGTCAGGACATTCGGGTCGGTCCGGGTGGAAAACTTCCTGTAAGATCTGCCGCAGAAATGGACAATAGGTAGCCTGTAAAACGTAAACAACAAGAAAATTAACCAACCTATTTACAACAGCACAGTTGTAACTTTATACAATTGAAAACAGATCTTTACATACACTATAAAAAGACAATTTTTTTTCTCAGTGTCCGACATTAAAATATACTTTTTTTTTGTTTTAGGTCAATTAGAATTCCCCAAAACATTTCTACATGCCCAAGACATGAGAAGGAGAATATTTTACATAATTTTTATTACATTCTCTAAAGTCCAAGGTTTGCATGCACTAAGATGCCTTTATACCAGGCATGGGCAAACCCTGGCACGCGGGCCATATACGGCCCGCTGGGCTTTTTAATTAGCCCGCCAAAATTGTCCAAAATTTGGACAATTAAAAAAAAAAAAGTATATGTATGCATATATATATGTATGCATATATTTATTTATTTATTTATTTATACTTTATTTTTCAGGGATACTGAGGTAAAATTTAGGGGTGCTTAAGCACCCCCAAAAAGAGGTTGAAATTGCCACTGGTTCATCCATCCATCCATCCATTATCTTCCGCTTATTCCAAAGTCGGGTCACCGGGGCAGCAGCTTGAGCAGGGAGGCCCAGAAATTTCTTTCCACAGCCACCTCTTCCAGCTCTTCTGGGAGGATTCCAAGGCATTACCAGGCCAACCGAGAGACATAATCTCTCCAGCTTGTCCTGGGTCTTCCTCAGAGTCTCCTCCCAGTTGGACATGTCCGAAGCACCTCTCTAGGGAGGTACCCAAGGGGCATCCTTACCAGATGCCCGAACCATCTCAACTGGCTCCTCTTGACGTGGAGTAGCGGTTCTACTCCGAGTTTCTCCCGAATAACTGAACTTCTCACCCTATCTCTAAGGGAAAGTCCAGCTACCCTGCGGAAAAAATTTCATTTCAACCGTCTGTATCCGCAATCTCATTCTTTCAGTCACTACCCAGAGCTCATGACCATAGGTGAGGGTAGGAACGTAGACCGACTGGTAAACAGAGAGTTTTGCCTTACAGCTCAGCTCTCTCTTCACCACAACGGACCGGTACAGAGTCCTCAATATTGCAGATGTTGCACCAATCCATCTGTCAATCTCATGCTCCATTCTTCCCTCACTCATGAACAAAACCCCAAGATACCTGAACTCCTCCACTTGAGGCAGAACCTCACCCTTGACCTGAAGAGAGCAATCCACCCTTTTCCGGTTAAGGACCATGGCCTCAGATTTGGAGGTGCTGATTCTCATCCCAGCCGCTTCACACTCAGCTGCGAACCGCTCCAGTAAGAGCTGGAGATCACAACATGAGGACGCCAACAGGACCACATCATCTGCAAAGAGCAGAGATGGAATCCTGAGGCCACCAAACCGGAAACCCTCCGCCTACTGGCTGCACCAACAAATTCGGTCCATAAAAGTTATGAACCAAATCGATGACAACGGGCAGCCTTGGCGGAGTCCAACTCCCACCCTGAAGGGGGCCGACTTACTGCTTGCAATGCAAACCAAATGCTTGCATCGCTTGTATAGGGACTGAACAGCCCATAACAATGGGCCTCCAATCCCATACTCACGGAGCACCCACCACAGTGTACCCTGAGGAACATGGTCAAATGCCTTCTCCAAGTTCCCAAAACACATGTAGACTGGATGGGCAAGCTCCCATGACCCCTCAAGGACCCTAGTGAGCGTAAAGAGCTGATCCAGTGTTCCACGGCCAGGATGGAACCCACATTGTTCCTCCTGGATCTGAGGTTCAACCAACAATTGGACTCGCTTCTCCAGTACCCCTGAATAGACCTTACCAGGGAGGCTAAGGAGAGTGATGCCCCTATAATTGGAGCACACCCTCCAGTCCCCCTTTTTGAAGAGGAGAACCACCACCCCAGTCTGCCAGTCCAGTGGAACTGTCCCCGATATCCACGCGACGTTGTAAAGGCGTGTCAGCCAAGACAGCCCCACTACATCCAGAGCCTTAGAGCCTTAAGGAAATCAGGGTGAATCTCATCCACTCCCGAAGCCCTGTCGCCTTGGAGCTTTTTTAAAACCTCGGCGACCTCAGCCACAGTTATGGACAGGTCAACCCCAAAGTCCCCTGACTCAGCTTCCTCCATGGAAGACGTGCTGGTGGGATTGAGAATTTCACCGAACACAGTGTTAGTAAAGTGCTGCTTTCCCCTCCTCCGCCACTGGTTCAAATTATATTTAAAAAACTGAATTTAATAAGAAAAATCTGGTGTCATTTTACCTGTAGTTCCAGCATTTTCCCAGTAGGAGCACACTACAGACACTGGCGTGTATTACAGGCAAATTAACAGTGGAGAAGAAGTAATTTATTCTTCTACGCTTTTATTTTTACTTTGCCCTATGAACTCGTCTGTAAAAAACGCGTTTATCTAAGAAAAGAAAAGTGTACAGTGAGTGCCGAGTGTTTAAAATGGGGTGGACAGCAACATATTGTTTCACTGAGGTCCAATCAAAGGCAGTTTTTATGCCAAGAACCTGTTGTGATTTTCAAAGAGTACACTTTGCTAACCGCTAACTATGCTAGCAAGCCTTCCTCCAATGGCAATTTTTTAAAAGAAACATGGTAAAAACAGTTCAGGTCTATTGTGTCCGGAGGGCCAAGACAAGTTAGAAAAAAACGGTTTATCATGCAGGACTGTGACTCGACTTGTGGAACTGATTGATGAAGATTTAGCCAGCAAAATAAACTAAAAGGCAGAGAGCGTCCTTTAAGTTATGGTTTACTAGATGAAAGTAATAAAGGACACTGCTCATCTCTTATTTTTTTATCTGTGGAATTAACAACAGTTTTGAGATAATGGAGGTGTTTTTGACCCTGGAGTCTCTGAAAGAAAAACATGAAGAGAGGATTTTTATAACCGTCTGCTGTCCTAGAGAGAATGAAGCTACTGTGGAGTAAAGTTGACAATGTCACAATGGACAAATCACCAAATTTAAGTGGAAAACGTCGGGCTGCTGACAAGAATCCAGGATAAAGTGAAAGGAAAACCTCGATCAGGATGTTATTTTTCATCCATCAGGAATCGCTGTAAGTCATGCTTTGTGTGTGTGTGTGAAACTGTTAGTTGTGATCCTAGTGTGTGAATTATCAAAAAAAGAGTGAAAGACAACACCATGTGTGAATTAAACCAAAAAAAGTCATATGTGTTGCATGTGTGAATTATTGTCCAGGTACTCTGTTGTGATACTGCATAGACGAACTGCAGAAGGATGATGTCTGCTTCCATTCCCAACCTGCCACAGCTGATCTGTCATCAACTTTAGATCCTGTAGTTGTAAAAAGTTTCGTGAGGAGTTTTTTGTAGAGTCAAGTCAAGTCAAGTCAACTTTATTTATAGAGCACATTTAAAACAGAACCTGTTATCAAAGTGCTTAACAACAACAACAACAACAACAACAACAACAACAACAACAACAACAACAATCAATGAGTAAAATTAAAGAGAATATATATATATACAATACACTAATAATAATAACTGAAGAATTAATAAAAAGCATTTAAAAACATAGGGTCACAGATTAAAAAAACACTAGATCAATTTACACTGTGTGAAATGCCTGCGAGAATAGATGTGTTTTAAGCAGGGATTTGAAGTGAGGAATAGGAGTAGAGGTGAGCTGCCACATTATTTTGACTTTTATCCTGTATTCCATTAGCATAGTGAGGTAAGAGACTTGTGGTTTGGTGAATTTTATTTTTCTTCAGGTAAGAGAAATTACACTGGTTTGTTTTGTTTGCTGTTTGGGACTGAAGTTGGTAAGACTCCACAAAGTCAATAATTTCACTATTGTAAATAAAATCACTGTTCTATCATATAATCCTGACTTAGCGGCTGGTTGTGTAGTGCAGAAGGTGGAATTGCCCATAATTAATAGCGTCCCGGCAGCTGTTATTGCGCTGGGGTGTAACATCACACAAACACTCCATCCATCTGTTCCTAGCCCGGCCCTTCGCTCCAATTTTAGAACTCAGTGTGGCCCGCGAGTCCGAAAGTTTGCCCACCCCTGCTTTATACAATTTGGGAAAGTCCAGATGATGCCATGACTTTGGAGGCCTTTGACTGGTTCGTTAACAACATCTGAGTTATTTGGAGACACACCATTAAGGCATACCTAAAACACTGCTTATTTGTGTTACATCAAGGAAATAATATTAAAAAAAAATCAGTTAGGTTATAAGGAAGAAAACCGTCAACTTCCACAACTCTGGTTCACCTTTTGGTACAAATTTCTAGTGCCTGAAAGAGCCACGTTCATCTGTTCAAAGTACACAAGGACACAAGTACACCAAACTGCTCATGAAGACGGGGTTATGTGCTCCAGAGATGAATTTGTTTTTGTAAAAAACGTGTTCATCAACACCAAAACAAAAGCAAACGACCTTGTAAAGATGCTGGCCAAAGCTGGTTAGAGAGTCATTATCCACAGTGAAAGAAATCGTACTGACATGAACTGAAATCAGCAAGGAAGAAGTCATTACTCCAAAAGCAACATAAAAAAACAGTTTCACACACAAGGAGAAAGATCTTATTTTTTTGAGACATCCTGTTCTCATATACTCAGGAGACCCAGAGAGTGCAAGAACGAGACGATACAAAACTCCAAGAGGTAAAAGTTTAACAGTGTTTATTATTTACAGTGAATATGAAACAACAGCTTGTTTCTCCACAGGAAACCTGTAAGGCAAGGATAGACATAAGATAGGTGTTCACAGCAAGGGAGGATTTTGGTTTTGATTGCAGTTTGTTTTTGTTCTTACAGGTTTGGTTGGAGGAGATGGTTTCTTGGTCTAGTGGTCAACAAAGCGGAACACAGGCAAGAGGTTGGAGGGTGAGGAGACTCAGGAGGCAACAAAGGTCCAAGATAACCAGATACGGAGGAGCACGAGGAGATCAGGTACTGTAGTACACAAAACAGAGCAAGAGTTAGACAAGACTCACTTATCATAACCAGGCCAGAAGCATGCTACCATGAGGAAGG